GGGCACAATCCAGATATGATCAGCTTAATCTGATAGATGAAAAAAGACTGAAAGCCATTCATCATGGTCAAATCTATCAGAAACGAATGATCAGAGCACACGACAAAAAGGTGCGCCCGAGAATATTCCGTGAAGGGGATCTAGTGCTAAAAGGATTTGGCCAGTCCAAAAGATTTCCGAGGAAAATGGACGCCAAATTGGGAAGGACCTTATGTCGTGAGGAAGGCTTTCTCCGGAGGAGCCCTTATCCTGGCTGAAATGGACGGACCTGAGCTGCCACATCCCATTAACTCGGACGCAGTCAGAAATACTTCGCTTAGGATGAAACCGAGAGGCATCTTAAGTTGAAAAAAAAAAAAAAACAAAAAAAACAAAAACAAAAACAAAAAAAAAAAAAACAAAAAACGCTTAGGGTGAAAACCCGAAAGGGCACCCTAAATTGAAAAAAGAAGAGAAAATAAGGGGGGTTCAAGACGAAAACCCGCAAAGGGCGTCTTGCAACCAAGGATGGGTCCAAGTTGAAAACCCGGAAAGGGCGATTTGGATATCAACGGTGGAAATATCCGGCACATGAATCTTCTACGAACCCAACAAATCGGAGAAATGTTGCACCCTCCCAACGTTGCCGCATTTTCAAAGATCCTTTGGCAAAGGCTGCATTCAAAGTCACCAAACGGCTTTTCAACTCAGAAGTGCCCACGTTATCGAGATCTAAGACATTCATTTACATCATTGTGTATTCGTTTTCTAGAATGTTTGCCATGTATTATTTGTTCTTCTCCTCCCTTATGAATAAAGACCATCTTTCCTCCAATACCTTTTGAGCATCTTGAATTAGATTTAAACCTAATGGTTTATTTATTTTTATGAAAGATAATCGCATATTGTTGTACAAAGATTCATTGAAAAGTACAGGTACCCAGAAGCCGATCAAGGCTCATGCACATGCTTGAGATGGTTGAGCATCTTCAAAAAAAAAAAAAAAAAAAAAAAAAAAATCAAACATTTGAAGAATTTAAGATCAGAGATCGGAACTTCAAGCTCAAGAGTCCAACGACAGGCCACTGGAGATCGAGATTACTCTCCAGAGCTCAGAATAACATATGTTGCATATGCATTTTAGACATACCTAAGAGCATGACATCCATACATCACATATATGCATATCTTTGCAGGTTTTACCCAGAGCCAATTCAACTTCACAACGAAGGATATTGGACTCCAGACAACGTAAGTTCAACTTCACGACGAAGGGACCGCTGGTTGTCAACAAACATTTCTCAATTTCAGGGCCAATTTCAACTTCACAACGAAGGATATTGGACTCCAGACAACGTAAGTTCAACTTCACGACGAAGGACCGCTGGTTGTCAACAAATATTTCTCAATTTCAGGGCCAATTTCAACTTCACAACGAAGGATATTGGACTACAGACAACGTAAGTTCAACTTCACGACGAAGGGACCGCTGGTTGTCAACAAACATTTCTCAATTTCAGGGCCAATTTCAACTTCACAACGAAGGATATTGGACTCCAGACAACGTAAGTTCAACTTCACGACGAAGGGACCGCTGGTTGTCAACAAATATTTCTCAATTTCAGGCCAATTTCAACTTCACAACGAAGGATATTGGACTACAGACAACGTAAGTTCAACTTCACGACGAAGGGACCGCTGGTTGTCAACAAACATTTCTCAATTTCAGGGCCAATTTCAACTTCACAACGAAGGATATTGGACTACAGACAACGCAAGTTCAACTTCACGACGAAGGGACCGCTGGTTGTCAACAAACATTTCTCAATTTCAGAGCCAATTTCAACTTCAACGAAGGATATTGGACTCGAAACAACACAACTTGCATTGGATTTCAACCTCACGACGGGGATATCCAATTCTCAGGCTCAACTTCACGACGAAGGAGCCATATATTTCCAACTTCACAAATAGATTGACCCAACTTCGCGACGAAGGAGTCATCTGTAACACCACAACACCACAGTATTCAGATCAAGGGTCACATTCACGACGAAGTACCTTGAACCAGAAGATGATTCAGAGGCCACTTGCCAAAAGCTCCGAGTTCAAATTCGACTTCACAATGAAGGATTTCCGGGCTCAGTTTGAACTCAACCTCACGACGATTAAGTCATTTTGTGATTGACAAACCAGTTTTAGCGTCGGGTTCCAACTCTACGACAGAGGACATTCGATATTGTTAAAATTTGTGTCTTTAAATCTTTGCTCCATTTTCGTTACACGATAATGAGCAAAGAGGGGCAGCTGTAGACACATTTTATATAATATATGAGTATTATTATTTCAAAACTAATACATTTACATTTCTGCAACAGGCCTTTACAATTCGTTAGGCCTAACTGTGCCCATCTTCAGCAGCCCAGATGGCCCAGCAGCAGCAAACCATCAGGAAGCCCTAGCACACCCTCACCAGCAGCGTCGTTTCCTCTACAGACTCCTCCACGTCGAAGACTCCTTGTCCTTCACGTTTCCCTTGCTCAGTAGTTGCAACACCAATCTCGCCAACAACTCACGAAGATAACAAAGATCAGTGTTGTAATCATTAGAACTCTAAAAAATAGGTTTTTTTTCTAGGCTATAAATAAGGCATGTAATCAACACAGAAAAAGAAAGATACTGAAAATCACGAGTGCACACACAGGAAATTACTCAGTGAAAAAAGAACAAGCCTTGTAAGCGTTTCAAGAAGAAATAAAAAGGTGAAAGTTTATACCTTTCTTACTTCTTTCCCTTGCATGCGTTATGTCCTTGTCGTTTTACTCGAAAAAACAGAAGATTTGGGGCCGATGAACACACGGGAACCGTGATATTCCCGATCTACGGTTCCCCGAGGCTCGGTTGGAAAAAATATTTTGGTTTTTAAACGTGCGGGCGAAGAGCTTTCAAAAAAACCAGTTTTTTTAGTTGGTTGCCGCCGATGGCCGGCGGCCGTCGCCGATCAACGGCGGTGGCAAGGCGGCGAGGGGTGGCCAGGGAGGCCGATTTCTGGAAATCATAGCCTTGTTCTTCGTTTTGAAGAACAAGGCAGAGGGAATGGAGAGAGAAGGAAGTTCTCTCGTTTGGTGAGGAGAGAAATGAGCGAAATTAAAATTTTTTTAACTTTTATAACAACTCTTGACCCGCGTCTGGACCCGACCCGGTTCTGATGGACCCGCGTGTTTTTGCAAGAAGCGAGAGATTTGCGTTTTGGTTCTCCAGTTTCAAAACCTTTAATTTGGTCCTCTGAATCGATTATTGAACCCGAAATCCTTGTAAATTGACCCTCGAGTTTATTTCGTTTCAATTTAGTCCCTACTATTATATACTATATTTTCATTATTATATTTATTCCTTTATTCATATATATATATATTTTTATGTATATTTTATTTTATTTTATTACATAATATATACACATAATCATCGTTATTTTTATTATTTTAAGTATCATTGATAGCGTATATAAACATCTATTTTTTTTCCCTTTTATTATTATATGTACATACTTTATTTTTTTCATTTACTTTATGTATTTATTTTATTTATCTCTATACATAACCCTCGTTAATTTTAAGTGTTATTGATAGCGTATATAAACACATATTTTTTTTATTATTATCTGTATATTTATTTCTATTCATTCGTTTTATTTAATAATATATTTGTTATTTATATAGTTCTTCGGGTTTTTTTAACATCATTATCATTTTCATTTTATTCTACTTTATATTTTTTAGTTTATTTTCATTATTCCTTTTTATTTTATACGTACATATTTGATTATAGTTATTTATTTATTTTAGTCTTTTTTAGTTTTTATTTATTTATTACTATTATATATCTTTTTATTTTTCCCATTATTTACATCTTTATCATTATTACCGTTATTCTTATTTATCATTTGTTTACTTATCTTCTATTTTATTTTTATTGTATTTCCTCTAATATTTTATATATTTATATATGTATATATATTATGTATACTTTATGTAATTTTTATTATTATTTTTCTAATTGCCTTATTTATATGCCATATTTTATTTTACTTTCTTTTTTTTTTCTCTCTATTTTACATTACGTTTTTATGCTTGTCCTTATTTTTGTTTCATTCATGTTCTCTACCTTTATGTTAATTATGTTTATTGTTTATTTTTGTCTATTTTGTACTTTATTGCACTTTCTTTATTTTTGATTTATTTTCACCACCATTTGTTAACGCTTCTCATGACTTTTTAAGGGTATACTTTTAAATCGAATCAGTGGTAAGCAATTTGGATCAATATTTTACCTTTCAATTTAACTTTCAATTTTCTTAATTAAAGACAACTGGAAATTACACAGTACCGAAAGGGCAGTTCAAGGGTGCTAGCCCTTCCTTGACTGTAACCGACTCCCGAATCCGACACATCTCTGGTAAGACGCAGATCAGGTAAGAAATAGGGTATCCGATCAACCCATCTATTTTTAAATAAATGATCGGTGGCGACTCCAATCCACATTTTTCAAGTCGAAGCCCAATTCCGGGGCCCAACCGAAAGACGGTTGCGACAGTTTCCATTTTTATATTCGTTCTCTTGTAATTTAAGAAATTATCTATGGTAATATTTGAGGATTTGTAGTTATGGAAACTGTAATGTTCTGTTTGATTCCTGAGAAATTGTGTAATAACGAAAATATTATTGTACATTGCAGGCGGTAGAAGGCCGAACTGAACTGATTTCCAAATTGGAAAATTTAAATTTGTCTGAGAAATCCGATGTGAATTATCTTCTTGAGTCCTTAAATGTATCCACTTTATTGCAGCTAATTATATCAATTTTCTCCGTACATAATTTTATTTTTCGATTTCAATTATGTTATCTTTTCCTCAAATATTTACGGATAGGATTGAAGAATTCTCGGAAGGATTTAAAGATTACGACAGATTTAAGTAAAGTTATTCATGAATAAGATTTGAATGTCTCCTCCCTTGGCATGTCATTGTTCTTTCCTTGACAAGAAAATGGACATTCTGGGATGGCTATACTTGTTTGGATGTGTCACAATGTCTATTAAACAATGCTGTTCTGCATGTGGCTGCAAAATATCTCGACTCAGATATATCTGGCTGTTTATTACAGTTTCTTTTACTTGGATCAAAGGTATGTTTATTTCTACTTTTTTGTAAGTTAGAATTGTCACTATGCTTGCTTGAATGCAACTTGAACTCGATGGCAGTTCCTTAGGCATTTTTGAACTATGAATCTTCTAGGCAAGCGTATGGTGTGGGAAGCATCTTAAAATGACTGCTATGTCAACTGAGGAATCACCAGAAGAAGAACATTGCAGCCTGTTTTACCAGGTACGTGATGGTTGATAGTTTGAGGTATCAATCTCCAGCAAAGAAAAGTTGTTAGTTGCCATACCAAATTTTCCTTCTTGATCAGATAAACAAGGGTTCATCTTTCCAAAATTTGATTTGCTAGTTTGAATGCTGTCAATTGTTTTTCTTTCCTTTCTTAGGATAAATTATGCTATATTTTTATTATTTAACGTTGAAGGCAGTCTTTTGATTTATGATTTGATGTGGCTACTATCGAACATGAATTTAAGCATAGGTTCTGCTTATATTGTATAATTAAGATTTCATTACATGCCTGAATTTAATGGTCTAATAATTTCAAGCCTCAATAGAGGTAACTCTTCTATTGGTTTCCTTGATAAAAGGCAGTCAGCCCAAGGTTGAGTGTGAATAATCATAAGGATACATTAGAAAGTGCTTTGAGAAACCTATGGTTACTCCCATATGAGCCTGCCTAACATGCTAAGCTATTTCATTTACACTTCTTGAGTCTATTTGTCTGTTACTTTAGAGTTAACTAATGCTCTCGTTCCATGATAAATATCATTTCCTTTTGGAGGAAATATGTAAGACTTCTGCCTTTAGTGTTGAATGTTGAAAAACTTAAGTTGTTTTTCTAATATGAAATGCTTGTGTTTTTTATTTATTCTGAAACTGCTTTCACATATCATATTACTTAAACTTCCTGTTTGTTTTTGTAAACTTAATTTTGCAGCTGCTACTGGATTTTTTGAGATTCTCTGCTTCTAGCATTTCATCTATGGCTAGATACTCTGTTGTTTCTGACAAGGCATCAGCGGAGGTTGTTGAAAAATCCATTTTAGAACAGTTGAATCTAGCAAAAGATGCAATATCTGAAATTAAGGTACCTATTTTTTTCATTAATGGATCTGTGCTACTATATCTATTTTACTCTTAACTCATCATTTTTCTTGAAGTGCTCATGTTTGACACATATTTGGAGATTTATACAGGAATATGCTCCTCCATACATATATATATATATATATATATATGAATAATCTTAAAAAAAATAATTGAGCATAACTGTGCTGGATGTATATGTTTTCTGGAAACAAAAGGCTGTTGTCACCTTCAAAATCCTGTTTGATGCATTATATAGATATATTTCTTCTTAAAGGTTTGTAAGTGTTTATTAGGAGTCCACTGCACGACCTTCAGTTAGAATTTAGATTAAAAAAGCATTATTGAAGGCAAACTGCTTGGCTTTCTATAAAGAACCAGAGTTAATAAAGAAATTTGCCTGCATTGAGGTCCAACTTTAAGCTTTGGAATTAGTGGTCTCAATATGTAAAATGTCTAGTCTAAATGTGGCTAATGTTCACTTGGTAAATATTGGGAAACTTATAGAAATAAGAGAAGTGTACTAATATTTACTGCTTCCCTTTTCTTTATACCCCAAGTTATAAATCTTACAAATGATAATTCAATTTGATCTTATTTCCTTGATACAGAGTTTAGAAACATACCTTAATAAAGTCCTAAAGCATACCCTTATTAGGTTTATAAACATACATTTAATAAATAGAGCTCAAATTGAGATGAATTTTGTTTAAGGTGCCTCTCAATCATGTCAGTTAACCTGAGCTTTTATCTCTTTACTACTCAATGGGTATTGCTTTGGCACTTCCTCACTTCCTCTTATGCTGATTCACTTTGGGATGGCAAATTTCAACATAATTTTCTCTTGTTTTCTTATCTCTCAATTTGGATCGTATCTTCTTCTTCAATAACTTTGTGGCAATGGTATTGGTACAATTTAGTTAATTATCAAAACATGCATGTCTTACAGCATTTTTTATGAAGAAATTATATTTGCTTCCGGCTGTGTTTTCTGTTTTCAGAAGAATCTAGTTGGTTTCATATGCTGCTGGAGTTTTGAATAATTTTGTTCTTTTTTCTTTTTCAAACAGAATATTCACTCAATTGGTGGTGAGGTTTTAAAAGCTGCACAAGCGGTCATTGATGCCGCCATAAGACTCTGCAAGGAGTATCACCAAGTAATTAATTGGGATTTTTCTGGTGCAGAACTTGAAAATAATGAGAATAGCATGGAATGTAAACAGGCTTGCAGTATGAATCATGTCATAAACATAATAACAGTTACATTAGAAAAACTGTTTGAGTTCGGCATTCTTGCTGCAAACGATGGTGGAAGTCTTGTCACCATTCTTAATGTGTCATGGAAAGGTTTGGTCACCTTGCTTCAGCTGTCCAAGGGAAAATTGCCATTAAAAGTAAAGGTTGCAGAAATTGTTCTGACTTTAATTTCACTCGTCAATGATTCACTGAAATGTGCAGCTGAGAGTTGGTCTTCTCCTAAGGAGATCATTTCTGTAACTGAAGCTAGAAGGATATTTGTTCCAATAAAGTTTTACCTGATTAATGCAGTAAAGATATCTTCTCTGTATCCATGTCAGGCATATACAGTTTATAGAGATTTAGCACTCTGTGTCTTGATGATCTCGACCTTTAAATTATTAGTGGGCAATGAAAAACTAATGAAAGATGTCAGTGAGGTTATAGCAGAACTTTTGGAGAAAACATCCTTGGATTTGCTTAGTTCTTTGCTAAATTCAACTGATGTGAAGCAGGAATACAAATATGAACTTGTTGATTGGTTATTCTTTGATAACTTCTGGTCAGATGTTAACGAAAACCCCATTAGTAAATGTAGGATGACTTCATTGGATGAGATATTTGCAGTGAACTGTGAAACTATGCCTAGATCAAAAGTTTTGGTGCTTGGTCAAGTGGCAATCTTTTCCAGTTTTCTGAGATATCCCAACGATTTGGAGGACGATGTAAAACTTCTGATTGCCAGGAAACTCGATTGGTTTATGAGTTCAATAATCGATGAAGAGGTTTATTCATCCATTCTTGTATCACAGATTCCGCTATTGTATGTTTCTGGAAAAACTGTGGAGTTAACTTGGGAGCCCATGTTTTCAGCTTTTCTGCAAGCCTTAAAAACCTTCATGATAGTTGTATCTTCAACTTTAGCTTGGGAGGAGTTTGGATCTTTCCTGGTTAAGAATTTACTGCATCCTCATTTCCTTTGCTCGGAGATCATAATGGAACTTTGGTGCTTTTTGGTTCGGCATGCTGAGTTAGAGTTGGTGAATGGCATCATCCTTGAGCTATGTGCATTAATGAAGTTAGTATCATCTCCAGAATCAGTTTTTGTTCCAGATTCTGGTCTCCGGAAAATGGCGAAATCAGTCTGCACACTTCTCTTATCCAGCAGCACATCATTGGTGGATTGTGTTTATAGTTCTGTGACTGGTGATGATAGATCTCAGTTATCATCAATTCTATATGCAGCCTTGCTTTTGGAAGGTTTTCCACTGAACTCGCTATCAACAAACATGAGAAATATTGCTAAAGAAAAAATCATCTCTGACTATTTTGGTTTCATTGATAGCTTTGATGACAAATCATTAACTCTCTCCGGTCCTGAATTTGGGCTTCCAGTTTTTGCATTATCTGCTTCATTAAAGTCGCTGTAAGTTCTGTCACTTCGTTAATTCAGTCATGATTTGCTAACTGTTCTATTGAAATCGAAAAATAGAAGTAGCAATGTTTTGTTTTGTTGAAGTTCCTGATTCTTTTCAAGCAAACAGAATAAAATCACATAAGTGCAGGTACTGTAACTTTCTCAGATAAAGGATGTTGTGTTCACTCATTTGATATACTTTGCTTGGATGCTAATCTATGTTACTTCGTCTCTTCATTTTTCTCATAGTACCCATATTTTGGCTCTCGTGACCTATATCTAGACATAGGTATAGGAATATGACCCTTCAAACATATGGAAAATTTAAAAAATATTTGACATTCCTGTATTCAACACATTGGAATCCGATTTTCATAAATGCTTCTGTAACCTTTAATTTCTACCATAAAGATCTGCCGAAATATTTTTCTTCTAACAAGAACTGTGATTGTATTTATGGAGTTTCAAATTGATTTGTGAGTTACAATACTGAATGAAATTACTCTTTCATGCAGGCAGGTGGCCATATCCGACACAGACATGAAGACCTTGAAGTTCCTAGTTGCTATTATTGGTGGCTACAGGAATTCTGCAGATAAATTAAAGAAGGAAGTTTGTTGTAAGCTTTTGAATCAGATGCTATGGATTTGTTCAAATTTGAGTCACCTATATGAATCTGAAGAAATGGAGGAATTTATATTGGAGCTTCACAATTTGTTTGTTGCGGGGCCAGCAGCTTCCGATACTGTTTTGAACCACTGCAAACCGGGACTGGCACTTTTCTTGTCCGGAATCAGTGCCATGGCGATGTCGGAGAGTGATAATTGTCCTAAAAGTACTGCTGTATGGGAGTTGTATCACATGGTTTTGAGAGAAAGGCACTGGGCATTTGTTCATCTAAGCATTGCAGCATTTGGATATTTTGCTGCTCGGACTAGCTGCAATCAGCTATGGAGGTTTATGCCTAAAGATGCAGCACTTTCATACGATCTAGTATCCGGAAATGATGCGAACGAAGACAGATTTATGTCAGAGTTTAAGGCTTTTCTAGAGAAAGAAAGGGCTCTTCCGGCCGTTATGTCCAGCAGCACTGAGCAACAGCTGCCACTTCTTGAGGAAGGTTTGTCTCTAAAACAAATGGTTCAAAAGGTCTCGAGTATCAATTTAGATGCTGCAAGATTCGATAAATTGGATATTGATGATGAAAACCAACCAAACAAGAGAAGGAAACTTCCTGACGGCATTAACAGAGGCGTGGAACTGTTGCAAGATGGCTTGAAAGTTATTGGTGACTGTCTTTCACAGTGGCAAACTAATCAGTTAGAGTCTGAACTTCATGACAAGTTCATGACACACATTTCTATGATCGAAAATGTGATTTTTCACTTGCAAGTTCTTAGAGACAGTAGTTAAGTCCCGACGTCGTAAATCGCCGTTCTCCGGTTTCGGCCTTCTACACCGCTATTTACCACAACCATAGTAACATATGAACATAATCATGGTAAACAGTGTAATAGGAATGTATCCATGACTGCAACTTTAATCCTTGGTAAAGTCAATGATTAATCCGTGTTCACGCACAGATATTGTTGGATTGCTTAGGTTTTATAGGTCATGCAAGTATAGCTTGTTCTTTAACCAAAAGGGTAAACTTAATAACAGATTTTATGGTCAAATTATAATCTCTTCACGCAATGCTATCTTTTGCAGTGTATCTGTATGAGTTCCTTCTCATTCACTTTGTTTATATTTCTTGTTGGTACAAGGCCCTTTTTCCTTTTTGATGCTAAAGGCAATGCTACGTAACCAGTTTTATCTTCAAACTAACTTGTTAGCCATTAAGGCATTGGATTATTTGGTAAAAAAGCTGAGACTGAGATCTAGTGTTTTAGTATTACCTTGTGCAAATTATGTTGGGGGGTTTACGATGGTAATGAGTTGGTTGGGTTTGATTTTTAGTGGACCTAACTTAAAACATATATGTCTTTCACATGAACATGACCCGAGAATCATATGCTCTCCACCTTATTCAATTTGACTTGAATAGTATATTCTCCATGTCCGAATTTGATCAAACTCAATTTTTTGGAGTATAAATAGATTTGACATGACTTGACTTGACTTAACATAAAATAAGATCTTAATTAAAAAAAACTATAGAAAAAGAGAATTATAACAATTATCCTTAAATTTATAGGGAAAAATTATAATATTGTCTCTATATTGGAGGTATTTCATTTTCCAATCAAGTTTGACTCGTCCTAAATATGATATTTTATGCCGTGGTAAAATATATCGTTTTAGAAGTAATTTTATTCAGATTTACGTTGCCTTCTAATATTTACATAGTCTTCTCCCAGCCAACAAGTCTTGTGGGAAGCATATACAAAATTTTGACAAGAGTATTCGCTAGAATATTATCAAAGTGCTTGGGTGAAGTAATTGGTGACACCCAAATCGCCTTTGTACCAGGAAAATAAATTCTGGATTCTTGTCTCATTACAAATGAAGTTGTGGATGTGATTTTTAAGAGAGGGTTTGAGGCAATAGCTTTCAAAACGGATTTTAAGAAAACATATGACTATGTAGACTGGTCTTTTTTAATGTTCGTTATGAAAAATTAGTTCCAGATCTAAATGGCACAGGTGGATAAAGATGTGCATTGTATTACGTTTATTTCAGTGCTGCTCAATGGAATTTTATCAAAAAATTTTTAAAATTAAGCGTGGTTTGCGACAAGGTTGCCTTCTCTCCCCCTTAGTTGTCGAGGGCCTTAATGCAATTCTGAAAATCGCATCTGTTATTGGTCTCTTTAATGGTATTAAGGTGGGTAATAGTGGTCCCATAGTCACGTCTCCAGTTTGCAGATGATTTGATTGTATTTTATGGAGCTAGTGAAATTCAAGTAAAAAATAGCAAGAGAATCCTTTGGTCATTAAAGTAGCTTCGAGGTTGGAGCTTAATCTACATACAACCAAATTGTTTGTAATTTGTAATACCGTTAAAATCGGTCTAAATTTTTTTTGGCTTTCGATGATCGAGAAATTATTATTTTTCCTCTTTTCATATTGGAATCAAGCTTTTTGAATAAATAAGTTTGAGTTTAGAATAAATCTTGTATTTATAAAGTTAATATCGAAATTCTATGGATAATGACCAAAATGAAAGAAATGTGAAATTAGTAGTTTTAAATGTAAGTATTGTTTGAAGACATTTCCTTTGCATGCTAAAGTCAAGAACTAAAGTATTAATTATCCCAAAAGTTTGTGTCAAATGAAATTTTTGGCATTTCTTTTAATGGCTTAATACCCAAACAAGTGCCCAAACTATAGTGTTTTTCATGAATAGGTGTCTAAACTATTTTTTGACTCATCCAGGTGTCTAACGTTACAAACGTTACCACTTTAGGTGCTTTAGGTGCCTCGGTTCTAACAACCGTTATAAAACCTCGTTAAGTGACACGTGTCTTAATCTGGTAATTTTGAAAATTTATTTTTTAAAAAAACTTAAAAATATTTTATTTCCTAAGAAGCCCCAATTTTTTTTCTAAAATACCAGAAAACCCAAACTCTTAAAATTTCTTTTTCTCTTCCTATTTACTCCAATTGCTTATAATCTGCAGCCACCCATTCACCGGCGACTGACCACCCACTGATCGATCACAATCTTTGCTATCATCTAAAAAATTATCTACAAATCCAACCAAAACAACCCAATCCTCAAATTTAATTCAACGCTACAATACAACCACTGGAACTACCCGTGACAATATGATAAACATAAATAATTTTGATATAACATTAAATATAATAATTTTGTAAAATTAATTTTAAGTCCCTAAAATTTGTCAATGCTTTAAAATGAGTCCTTTAAGTTCAAATTATATTCAAAATATCATTCAAATACTTTAGAATAATTTTCAAAGTCTTATATTTATCAAAATGTCAAAACTATTTTTTTAAACAAGCATTGACCAGAAGTTTCGTAACTTCTGCAAGAGTTTTGAAACTTTCCAAGATAGTAGCCCAAAAAGTTTCAAAACTTTCCTATAGTTTCGAAACTATATCAAGAGTTTCTAAACTTTCTTTAAATTTTCGATACTTTGGGTCCAACGATCATATTTTTAATTACTCTTTTGAAGAGTTTCAAAACTTTCTCAGAGTTTCGAAACTTTGTGTGTAGGTAGCCTTAAATGCGTAAATTTAATGCTTCAAACAGCTCCAAACTCCCTCCAACAACCACAGACGTCTGGAAATCAATGGGAGCATATAAAAGGGTTCTTCAAACAGCTAAGAAAAGACAAGAAAGCTATTCCAAAAGTCAAAGAGAATTTAAAGCCAAATTTGTATTCAACTTTGTCTTTCTTACATAGAACATTATTCCATTCTTTGTATTTTTTATTCTAGTGTTCTTGGGTGTGTGAGAGCGTCAATTTGCAAACAATTTATCTTGTGAGGATATTCAAAATTTTGCTTCTTTGTAATTTATTCTTAGGAAGGGTTGTACACTTGAGATTTTGGGGTATAAGTCTAAGTGTGTTGTAAGGTTACACATTGTCCTAAAAAGTTATAACAAATTAGTGGATATGTTGAAATCCTTAGTTTGGAAGCTAAGGTAGTGGATGTAGACTTCATTGAAGAAGTTGAACCACTATAAAATTGCTTGTGTCATATTTTCATTTTCTTGCAAAAAGATTCCACCATTTTTCAAATTGCCAATTCACTCCCTCTTGGCCATTCCGTTGATTCAATTGGCTCAACAATTAGTATCAGAGATAGACTCATTGGAAGGTTTTACCACCTTTTGAGGAGATCCTAGAAGATTCAAGTCATCATTCAATTCATCCATGGCCTCTACACCAAGCTTCGATGGCATCAATGATTCCCAACCTATCAACAAGCTTTCTTTCCTCAATGGAGCCAACTATGCCTTTTGGAAGAATATGATGGTGCTTTTCATCCAAGCTAGTGATTTGGGAGCTTGGAGAATCATTTTGAGTGGACATTTTACTCCAAGAAGAACGATGATAGAATGGAGTGAAGAAGAGAGGATATTGTTCCAACATAATGCAAAGGCAATGTATATTTTATTTTGTGCACTTGGTCCAGATGAATATGAGACAGTTTCATCTTGTTCCAATGCCAATAAGATTTGGGAGAAACTTGAAGTTACTCAAGAAGGAACTAACGAGGTAAGAGAAACTAAGATTAGTCTTTTCAATCATAATTATGAAAAAATCAAGATGAGACCGAATGAGAATATTAAGAGCATGACCGGTCGATTTTCAGTTACTATCAATGGTCTCAAAGGCTTTGGAGAAATCATTCTTAATGATAATCTTGTTATGAAGATGATCTATAGTCTTCCCAAGTCATGGAAATTCAAGAAGACCGCCATTGTTGAAGCAAAGAATATAAAGACTCTCAATCTAGATGAGTTCATCGAATCTTTTCTCACTCATGAGATAATGGTTAAGGAAAAAGAAGAACAAGAGTAGAAAAATAAGGAAAAAAAGAAATTAAAAAAGAATAAAAAGGTTGGTGTTGCTATCAAGTCTACAAAGGAAGAGAGTTACTCAAATGAAGATGATGAAGGTGAAGAAATGACAATGTTTGCCTAAAGATTCAAGAGATTCATGCATCCAACAAAGGAAGGAGATTCCAAAGGAAGGAGGGATTTAAAAATTAATCCAAGGAAAATGATCCTATTATTTGCTATGACTGCAAAAAGCCCAAACATGTCAAGTTTGAATTCCCACAATTGAAGAAGAAGAGATCCTACAAGAAGAAACACAAGGCACATGTAACTACATGGAGTGATGATGAGTCTTCCAATGATGAAGAGGAAGAAGTAGCCAACTTGTGTCTCATGGCCATAAAGGATGATTATAAGGTAGCCTCTAATTTATCTATTTTAAATGATTACTCCTTTAATGAATTACAATAGGCTTATGATGAATTAACCTTAGAATTTGAGAACATGATTTAAAAGTATAAGAAAAATATTTTAAAACTAAAAGATGAAAATGTTCTCCTTTCTAAGACTAATCTTGAACTTGAAAGTCAAGTCAATGATAACTTGAAGAGTTTGAAAAGAAAAATCAAGATTTGTATAACTTACTCTCAAAAGTTTATGATGGTCATCAAAAGAAGCTTGATGATCTTAAAGCTTCTTTTAAGCATGTTGGGACAAAAATATTTGAAAAAGGTGAAAACTCAAAGCCCAGCTATGTTAAAAATAACTTTAATTATTACAAGCATATAGGTCCCTAGAGAATCTCTTATAAAAAAAGTTATTAGAAGCACCTGAGTCCCCAAAAGACTCATTTGCTACTAATGATAAGGATATTCTTGAAGAATGGATACCAAATGGGACAATATTATCGAGGAACTAATGTTAATGGACCCAAAAGAATTTGGGTACCAAAATTCAAAACTTAATCTATATTTGTAGGAGGAACATTGCTACAAGGCA